CCCTGGCAGAGTCCTGTACACCTCTGCCACACAGAGGAGGAACTTTACAAGTACTTTTCCTGCTCTGAAAAGGCCAACAGGAGAGTGTCAGCTGTGACTGGATTAAAACAAGAAAACAAGGAATATTATAAGTCCTAGGAACAACTCTCCATAAACCATGTGGAAAGTCAGCTCTACTGGCATCTTTATGAACAGATAAAGGCTTAACTACATTAAATAAGCAAAGCTATAGCAGAGTTTGGAATTCCTTTAGAAAGGCAGAGCTTTGAATCTCGGGACATCACAAGGTAACATTGGTGGTCCAAAAAGTAGGAGAGGTAAAGACTTCAAATAACTTGAAAGGAAGAACTACTGACTTGGCTGAATCTGAATTGTTGGGGTTTATTTTGACTTCTGTCCTTTCCTCTTTCTTTGACCTTGGTGATGTCACTTTGCTGCTAATCTTTGCTAACTGGCATGAACACCCTCAGCAAAATCTTTCAATGTAGTGCAAACAACAAACATGTTTTGCTGAGACAGTAAAAAGAAAATCAAATATGCTCTTACTAGCTGTCCACAGTATTAGTTAATTGGCTTTATTCCTATAGCAATGCTGGCACATCTAACATTGACAGACAAACAGGACCAACTTCATTATTTGCAATACTTTGCTAAAATAAACAGGACCGTTCCTTTTTGATCCTAAGCATAATATGCCAGGTACTTTTCTCTGGCCAGAAATAAGACTTGAATCAGAGATGAGAGATAAAAGCAAGGGAAACTCTGAAGAGCTATTCTAAATACAGTGATATTGACTTCAGTGGGCATTTCTAGTTGCTTTTTTTTCTATAGCTCAGCATTTAGATGATTTAGGTGCTTTCACATTGGGAAAGGCCTACTAAGAATTCTATAATATATGCTCAGTGGCTCACTGACCAAGAAAGTTTGGAAATATCACCACATGAAGAGAAGCAGCAGCAGCCACTGAGGATTCTGTCAGATTAAGAAGATTAATTTTCATACGGAATAACTTGAATCCCTTAAATCAAATACCCGAAATAAAAAGAGAAATACTTATCTCCTCACACAGCAGTACTAAATAGTTTCCTAAATTATCTTTTTTCTCTCATGTAGTTATATGACTGACATACGAGTTGGTAATGCCATTGGAACATTATCTACCAGACTTACTGCCAGCTGAACTCAAACTCAACAAAATAATTTCAGGGTCTCTGAAACTAAATCATAGGTGTACAATTCATTCTGTAAAGACCCTTCTGTACTCACTTCCTGACTGCATCCCCAAAGCAATAAAACAGGCAGCTTCAGAACTTCCAAGATTTATAATAAATCTTCCTCAAACAAACATGGTACTAAATGTACAGAGCACTTTTCCTACACTCTAAATGTATTAGCATTAAATGTAAAGTTATGAAAATGTAAAGAAGAAAAGAATTAAGAAAACCTATAGAACAGAAAAAATTTCCCTCTTTTAACCAAAAAGGATGAATAACAGACGATTGATTTGGAGTGTTTTTTGATGAGGAGTATCTCAAGAAAGAGACACCTCCTGGAATCTTCAAATAATCATCTGAAGTTCAGTTCAGATGAAGTTATCTCCCAAAGTATTCGAAACCCTATGTTACTTATTACACTACCAGAAATGTTGACAATTATTCTGAGCATGTTTTGGTACATACTATCTGGGTCCACCAAGGGCAATAGTTTAAATCAAAAAGGATATTTTTTCCAAATCCTTATATAATGGAGTAATTTCCAGACTTGTATTAGGGTGCCCACTTGATATGTTCAAAATGTAATGTACCTGCTTAAAAGATTCATCAACAAATACTGTCCTTATGAATTCTGTGTCTGCCTGAATTTAAGCAGACATCTGACAACAAAGCATTCTCTGATTTTCTTCTCTTCTAGCAGAAAAATTGATTTTAAATAAGGCAACTCTGCTCTTCCCCACTGCCTGATCTTGTTCCCTAACTCCCAAGCTAACTCATCCTGCAGCTTCAGATGCACAGTGTACATCCCAGCTGGTGCTTGAAGGCAAGATGAGATGTACAAGAATCACAATCCATTACTCAACACAGGCAGTACCAATCAGTAGATCAATACAGCTGATGCTCCCATGACAGCTCTACAGCACTTGCAGATGTTTAGTACATGTAAGAAATGCATCTGCAAGAATCCTTTCCAAATTCTTGCAAGCAGAAGCTCTTTCCTCACCACAGACACATCACTCACTGCCTGTCACCTGGTGGGTGGCAACCTGCACAAAGAAAATGCTACAAGTAATTCTACAGGCACAAAGCTAAGGAGACAACCTGCTCTTAATTCCCCACAGTAATAGAGAAAACTAAGTTCATCAGAAAAACAGGCAAAATGCAAGCTATGTATTAATCAGGATGCAATAATACACTTAAGTCCACTAACCTTGATAAAACTAGTAAAAAGCTTTCCATGAGAAACAGAGAAGAGGAATTTCTAAGATGCTTATTCTATATAAGAGAAAAGGGATTTCAGCAGTGCAGGGACAGAGTAATCAAGAAAGACATGACTTAGGCAGCTCAAAGTTGTTTATCCTACAATCCCTTATCCCCACAAAAAGCTCCACCGTTGTCATAATCTAATAGTTACGAGCTTGCTCTGTAGATACACTCAGAAAAAAACATGTATTTCAAATGTTTAAAATAGCATACATATTTTTAAATTTCTCTTCAACCACAGCACAGAATGAAGAACTCCATTTTGTTTAATAAACAGCTGTTGCAATATGTCAAGCCCATACCTGAGGTTACTAATTTATCTTATTTCCAAAGAGAAAAACAAACCAGCAATTTTTCCTTTAAATATCTTAAGTCCTTTCCTCCAGTACCAGCTCCTGCATTTGTTTAGCTTCCCAAATGTAATACTGCTTGCTCCAGCCTTATCTGGGATAGAATTTTCCTACACCCATCATTTCTCTACTAGATCCAATGCTCTCCTGGTCACAGCCTTCATGTAAATTCTCTTTCCCCTTCACACACAGAATGTCTCTGAATCCTTTCAGAGGCATTTCCACTCATTCTTCTTCTTTCTTTATTATTGCTTCCTCCCAAAGGAGGGAAATTATAGTAATACATGTAGCAACTTCTCACCAACCATTTACAGTGGAGCACGATTACACTGTGCTGAATCATAGTGACAAGAGACATTTTTTCTTGCTGCTAACAGTCCAGGTGTTTTCTAGCATCCATATCTGTTTGGGTGGTAACACTGTGCACTGGGTGCAACTCTGGTTGGGTTGGTTCTCGATGCTTTTCCCTTTTACAACTAGAAGCCTCTGGTCTGAATAAAACAGTGAAGTGCTAGAAGCTAACCAACCATTTTTTTAATCTTAGAAATAACTTGCATTCTAAGCCTCAAAAATGTTCAACTAGCACTTAGTAAGGAAATCTTAATGGCTTGTTAGCAAAATAAGCAAGTAAATAGTTTCTTAGGTAAAGAGGAAAGGCTCAACACTGAAAGGCAATTATCTCTTATTTCACAGATGCAATCATTCATTAACTAAGCAAATCATTCCTTAATTCTACAGCATTTATCAACATGCCTATATTTGCCATCTGTAAGGAAAGGGTTTGGATATCAGGACATTTTTATCAACATTAAGATTGCCTTACTCTAACAAAATGGGAAACTTAGTTTCTACAGTATTGCTCTTATAGTAACAAACTTGAAGGCTCTTAGAGTTCCTATTTGCAAACTCACTAGCAAGAACTAAAAATATGTTTTTTAGTCTTTAACAACCAACTAAGTAAATTCATGGCCACAAGATTTGAGGTAAAAAAAAAAATAGGAAGATACTGCAAGGTCTGGAAATGTACAGCATTGCAACGGTTAATGCTAGTGCTAGTGAATCTATTTAAGATATTAAAATTTCCATCCATCATATTTCTTTGCTAATGTCCCTGCCCTCAAGGCAAAAGGGAGCATATGCCTGCATCCAAGCCACCCAGTTCACAGAGCTTCTTATTAACTCAAGCCATAAATGACAAAATGACAAGGAGTTCATACTAACACACCTATATAAACCACCACAGCCAACATGCAGGTCTGTGTTTGCTTTTGCCATCTAGACAGACAAGCAGAGAAAAAGGCTAAACAGCAGCATACAGGCATCAGGAAAGGAGCTTTCATGATCTTTAAACCACTGCAGCACTTTGCTCCCACAATCATAAATAATGTCCTATGTGTGCATTTGACTTTGAGAAGTTAAAGTTTGGGAAAAGAGACACACTACAAGAAAAACACCCAAGCAATGCACAGTAATGCTGTGAGTATTACAGAGCAGCTGAAATCACTGTGATTTCCACAGTCCTAACTACCAAAGTTCAGTCCACCTTGCTCTCTAATGGGTGATCTGTATCATGTAAAGCATCACAAATATTAGCTGAAGTCCCGGGTGTACAAGGACATTTTATTCACATGAGTTAATGTTTCTGCCAACACTAGCTCTATGATGGATAAAGAGAAGATCCAATTCAGCTGGGATGGGTTAAATCTCCCATTATGAAAACAGGCTTGCATCTCATCTATACAGCAAAATCTAGCAAGTATAATGAAAGCTTAGGAGCATTCACCTTTACAAAGACGCATTTATTCTTCCAAAAAGGGGAAGAATAATATACATTTTAAGTTCAATAAGGCTTTTTAACCTACAGTAGTCTGCTGAAATGCCAGTAACACCTAGACACTATATGAATATGAACTACTAGCGAAGCATGCTTCATTCACACTTGCTTTTGCATCCAATCATTTAAGTTGCTTCTACAGATTGAAAGCTTTTACATGTTTCCTGTGATCTGTAATACCATACTGTATAAAAATAAACCCTTCTGGGATTGAATTAGAGGATACAGTGGTTCACAAGAAAGGATCATTATTAATATTACTCCCCTCTTTTCTTTGTATGATTTTTTTTTCCCAAAACCATATCCCAGCACCCTGGCTGTGCACTACGTATCACTTACTGTTGCTGGACTTGAGGTCACGGTGAATTATGGGAACAATTGCTTCCTCGTGCAGGTAGTTCATTCCTCTGGCAATCTGCACTGCCCAGTTCACCAGTATGTCAGGAGGTATCCTTTTACCAGACAACACCCTATTGAGCGATCCTCCTCGGGCAAACTCCATGATCAGGCAAAGATTAGGTTCCTTCAAACACACGCCCCTGAGGGCAATGATGTTGGGATGTTTCAACATTGCAAAGAGCTTGGCCTCTTGGCGGACATTCTCAATGGTCTGGCTGATGTCCTCATCAGGGTCATAGCGAGCTGCCTTGACAGCAACCTCATCTCCTATCCATACAGCTCGATACACTTTTCCAAAGCCCCCTATGCCAATGATTTCTTCCAGAACAAGCTCTGAGAAGTCGATCTCTAGGACTAGGGAAAGAGGGAAAAAAAAAAAAGATGTAAGCATTTAGTAACTATGCAGCCTGTACATCACCTGAGGGTCCATGCTGGCCAACCTCACCCTTGCCCTTGAAGGAAGGGCAAATTTTCACTCCAAAACAATACAAAGGAAAGCAGGAAGCCTTTCTGACAACCTTTTGGTGCTGAATGGTATGGTAAAACAGACCTTACAGTGTCATAAAACTGGTATGAAGTACTCACTGTAAACAGTAAAACAACAAAACAGCCTCCTCTTAGCACAGTTAAGCCCTTATAATACTGATGCCTCTGCCCTTACCCCCCTTAAACTCTCAGTGACAGTACAAGTTTCTGAAAATGAAAAACACACCAACTAATCTTCACTGTGTTCACAACAGTGCTTAATGTAAAATAGCTAAAACTCAACACAAAATGCATCTGCTTCTCTATTTGTCCCTTATTTGAATGTCTCTTACTGAACTGCCACAACAATCTTTTAGTCCTCCCCAAATCACACTTATTCTTCCACACCTCTCCAGGCTTTGCAGATTTTTTTCCCCACAAGAGATCTGTTAACCAGTTCTGACGTTACTGACAACAGTGTGACAAACAGATGGATCAAACCACATACTGAGTGTACAGAGCAAGCAATAAGAAAAACATTTCTTGATAAGTGCATACTGCATTTTTGTTACAAAGACTTCCTATTCCCATACACTGACACCTATACTTTACAGGCTGACAGTGTCGTGGCTAATTGGCGTCATATAGGAAAAAAATCTACAGATGCAGCTGTCTCAGTTCAGTACACAAATTGCACCTGGAGCAAAAGCAATGAGAAAATGCATCCTGTACAACTGTACACTAAACACAGTTTATATGGGTGGCCAAAAGAACCCATCCAACACTGACTAATGTAGAATGAAAATTTCACATATTGACCAATGAAAACACAGTTGACACAACACTGACACAGCTTAATTTACAGCAGTGGCAGGCTACCACTGAAGCTACTCTGTCTGACATTTGCATGGTTACCAATAACAGTCAATGAAATTTTAAGCAGATGCAAGATTTAAACCAAAACTCACCAAATATTTTAATAGTTTCCTGCATTTGAAATGCCAAATCTGACATGATTTCCCTGCTTTGCCTAGTAGAAAGAAAATCAAGATTGTAAGGGAGCAGGTTAGATCCCACTGGAATAAACCAGTCTCTTTATTCCAATCAAATGCCTTTCTGATGTATAAGCCTAGAGTACAAGATTTTGTCACAAAACTGTATGGTGTTAATACAAACTCTTCTGTCCACAGCTGCAGGCTTCTATTTTGTCTGAGCTCTACCTTTCCTGAACATGACTTTTAGAAGTTGGCTTACTTTTGTAAGTTAGTCAAACCTAGGAGTTACTTTAATAAGGATGCCTTTTCCTGCTTTTCCTAGTGTTCCATGAACAAAAGATTAATGGGAAACAAGATAGAAGACTGACCAAGAAAGTCTGCCAAAAGGAGAAAAGGTCTCTTCCAGTCCAGAACACAAAGAGAATTTATTTTTCTGCTACTGTGAATACATATTTTGGGTAACGCTCTGAGCTTCAAGGACTTGCACAACAAAGAAGATTTCAATCCTACAGTAGCAACCTTGGTGTTCAAACACTTGAGACAGAGATTACTAGAAAGCATGAAAGGAATAGATTCTGACCAGAAACACTGAAATTTTAGAACAAGCCTGTAATGACAATAACTCCAGATGTTACTGGAGTTGAGACTACCCCATCACTGAGAATACATGAAGAGTCACTCTTGTATTTCTCACTAAGAAAAGACCTAAAGAAATCAGATGTTGAGTTCTATCTCTTCAGCCAGTAGAATTTCAGCACTGCTAGAATCCTCAATTAACCTGCTCCTAGGGACAAGGCCAGTTAAAAGACTGAAAATGAACAAACACGCACCCCACACCACCAGGGTGACTGCCTGCCCTGCCGACTCCGGGCAGACGGCGTTCAGGTGCCGTTCACAGCGGCTGCTCTGCTCGGCCATGTCACGGATTAAGCGGACATCACCGGGGCGCCGAGCGAGCCGCCCGCCGGCCCGCAGGTGCTGAAGGGACAGCTCCGGCGGCAGCGGGGACGGGACGGGGACGGGGCGGGACGGGACAGCCCGGCGGGCAGCGCCCCGGCCTTCCCCCTCCACACCCCCTCCTCCCATCCGCCCCGATGCTGGGGAGAAGCGCGAAAGGAAGGCAGCAAGGAGGAGAACAAGATGGGCAAAGGAAACCGAAGGGCTGGAAAGTAGAACAGCTCGTGTGACACCACCCATTTTCCATTAGAAAAAGCTCATCCCTGCTGGAGGTGCAAATTAATAGGGGTGAGATGTAAAACCGAGAGACTTCAGCTTCCACATGAAATCTAATGTGTGACATTGAATGGTTTTTTATCTGGAAGTATGACACTAGTTAGTTTGAAAATGTGTATTTCTATAAGGCAAACTGGCCAGCTCACTCTCGGGGGTAGCTTATTCAGAAAAAAAAAAAATTGTTTAGCGCTTTCAAAAGGTATTTTCTGCTGAATTCGTTTATTCACTTTCATAGTTTGAGTTATACAGCTATATTAGGGCACAAAATACTTGTTTTTCTACACATTTCTAAACACACTAAACTAAACTCTGGTGTCATTTGGCAGATGTGTTCTACAGGACTGTACAGAATTCAAGAACTGAAGTACTCTCATTCCTCTGTGGGCTAGTAAGGAATTACAGAGCCTGTACACCATGAACCAGAGGCCATGTTGACAACTGCAAAGTAGGTGCTGTTTAATCAGCCCTTATTAGATCATATGATTAAACTTTAATTCAGACTGAAGTGTA